GCCCGCCCACTTCACACTGCTAGGAAATGTTTCATGACGTTTTCCTGTTCACTCAATTCAGTATTAAAGTTTATCCCGCTGGCCCGCCAGCCCGCCAAGTTCAAACTGCTAGCCCGCTACACTGTTAGCCCGCCCACTTCACACTGCCAGGTAATGTATCATGACGTTTTCATGTTGAATCCGTTAAGTTTTAGAGTTTAACCCGCTGGCCCGCCAGCCCGCTCAATTCACACTGCTTGCCCGATACACTGTTAGTCCGCCAGCTTCACACCGTTTGGAAATTAATGTATCATTACGTTTTCATGTTCATTCAATTAAGTTTTAAAGTTTAGCCCGCTGGCCCGACAGCCCGCCCAGTTCACACTGCTAGCCCGCTACACTGTTAGCCCGCCCATTTCACACTGCCAGGTAATGCATATAACGTTTTCATGTTGAATCAGTTAAGCTTAGAGTTTAGCCCGCTGACCCACCAGCCCGCCCAGTTCACACTGCTAGCCCGCTACACTGTTAGCCCGCCCACTTCACATTGCTAGGAAATGTTTCATGACATTTTCATGTTGATTCAAAAAGGTATTAAAGTTAAGCTCGCTGGCCCGCCAGCCCGCTCAGTTCACACTGCTAGCCCGCTACACTGTCAGCCCGCCCACTTCACACTGCAAGAAAATGTATCATGAGGTTTTAAAGTGGATTCAATTAAGCATTAAAGTTTAGCCCGCTGGCCCGCAAGTCCGCCCAGTTCACACTGCTAGCCCGCTACACTGTGAGCCCGCCCACTTCACACTGCTAGGAAATGTATCATAAGGTTTTAATATGGATTCGATTAAGTTTTTAAAGTTTAGTCTGCTGGCCCTCCAGACCGCTCAGTTCACTCTGCTAGCCCGCTACACTGTCAGCCCGCCCACTTCACACTGCTAGGAAATGTATCATAAGGTTTTAATATGGATTCGATTAAGTTTTAAAGTTTAGTCCGCTGGCCCTCCAGACCGCTCAGTTCACTCTGCTAGCCCGCTACACTGTTATCCCGCCCACTTCACACTGCTAGGAAATGTTTCATAACGTTTTCATGTTTATTCAATTAAGTATTAAAGTTTAGCCCGCTGGCCCGCCAGCCCGCTCACTTCACACTGCTAACCCGCTACACTGTTAGTCCGTCCACTTCACACTGCTAGGATATGTATCATAACGTTTTCATGTTTAATCAGTTAAGTTTTAGAGTTTAGCCCGCTGGCCTGCCAGCCCGCCCAGTTCACACTGCTAGACCGCAAGACTGCTAGCCCGCCCAGTTCATACTGTTAGCCCGCTAGACTGCTAGCCCGCCCAGTTCACACTGTTAGCCCGCTAGACTGCTAGCCCACCCCGTTCACACTGTTAACCCGCTAGATTGCTTTTTTCGCTCCGTTCACACTGTTAACCCGCTAGACTGCTAGCCCGTTAGCCCCCCGCGTACTTCACGGCCATTTGGGCGGGACATTTTGATTCAAAGGCTATTATTTGAACAAGTTTAGTTATCGTTCCTACATTATGATTCATACCAGAACAAGTTTTGGTATTTTAACCCGATTGTTAATCAGAAGAGTTGTGTACGGATGGAAGGACGATGGACGGTGGCAATAATTCACCTTGAGTACGTTGTTCTCTGTTGAGCATATAAAACCTTTGGTTCGAAAATGCCCCGTCTTCGTATGATTTTTCCTAAATGTGTAAATTCAAACTTGAACATCTACTCCTCTAATAAAAGGTTAAACTTTCATATTTTGCATCAAACATTATTAAAATGGCCGTTAACGAAAATGGTTCAAATTATAGCCCTGGGGTATAGATTACATAGCAACAACTTACTATTTATTCTGTGACTTCCATTAACTTTTTAAAGCAATCATAACCTTTCCTTAGCAACCAGTCACTTCAATTGCAACTGTTAAATTACATAAAAAAACAAAAGCAAAAACAGAAAAGCACTGGCTTTCTATAGCAATCATATACGTTCCTTAGAAACCAGTGACGTGAAGCATATCCAATGAACTCCAAATGCATCAGTCGTTAAAAAGGATTTTGTTTCAAAAGCAAGCATAGACTTTCATAGCAACTGTTTACTTTCTACAGCAACCAGTGACTTACGAAACAACCACTAACTTTTCTAAGTAGTGATTGACATCAAACCAACCCTTTTTTACCCAAAGCAATCTCAAAGTTTCTAAAGTAGCAATTAACTGTCCATACCAATCGGTTATTTCAATAGAAACCATGCATTTTCTATCAACAGGTGACTTCCACAGCATATTTTGACTTTAGGCAGAAACCAGTTACTTCGAATTCAAATCCAACAATCGATTTCTTATAGTAACCAGTAATTTTCTATATGTTTTACATGCGCTTTTTTACAGATGCAGATTTGATACCTGATAACCATGATTTTGAAAAAAATACGCTCCCAAATCAAGATTTTTAATTTTAACTGTTTTTATCCTCCGCCGAAAAGGCGGCGGGGATATAGAAATAGTCTCCGTCCGTCCGTCCTTCCGTCCGACATTTTTGTCCAGAGCATATTTCAAAAAAGTATTTGAGGTATCAACTTGAAACTTAATAGGTGAAAAGACCTCATTGAGGAGGAGTGCAGTGCATAAGAATGATAACTCTACCCTGCATATTTTTTTGGTTATTGCCCTTTGTTATTTTTCAAATTAATTTTTGTCCAAAGCATAACTCAAAAAGCCTATGAGATATCAACATGAAACTTCATAGGTGCATAGATCTCACTCAGGAGATGTGCAGTGCATAAGAATAATAACTCTACCTTTCATAATTTTTGAGTTATTGCCCTTTGTTATTTTTCGTACTTAATTTTTCACCTGAGTGGAGCAAAACTCAAAAAGGGTTTGACATATCAACATGAAATGTCATAGGTGGATAGATCTTATTGAGGAGGAATGTTGTGCACAAGAATGATAACTCTTCCCTATACAATTTTTGAGTTATTGCCCTTTGTTCTTTTTCATGCTATTTTGTCCAGAGCTTATCTCAAAAAGTATTTGAGGTATCAACTTGAAACTTCATATGTGGATGGATCTCATTGAGGAGGAGTGCAGTGCACAAGAATAATAACTCTACCTTTCATAATTTTCGAGTTATTGCCCTTTGTTATTTTTCATACTTAATTTTTCACCTGAGTGGAGCATAACTCAAAAAGCCTTTGAGATATCAAAATGAAACTTCATAGGTGCATAGATCTCACTCAGGAGGTGTGCAGTGCACAAGAATAATAACTCTACCTTTCATAATTTTTGAGTTATTGCCCTTTGTTATTTTTCATACTTAATTTTTCACCTGAGTGGAGCATTACTCAAAAAGTGTTTGACATATCAACATGAAATGTCATAGGTGGATAGATCTTATTGAGGAGGAATGTTGTGCACAAGAATGATAACTCTTCCCTACACAATTTTTGAGTTATTACCCTTTGTTCTTTTTCATGCTTTTTTGTCCAGAGCTTATCTCAATAAGTATTTGAGGTATCAACTTGAAACTTCATATGTGGATGGATCTCATTGAGTAGGAGTGCAGCGCACAAAAATAATAACTCTACCCTGCATAATTTTTGAGTTATTGCCCTTTGTTATTTTTCAAAATTAATTTTTTGTCCAGAGCATAACTCAAAAAGCCTTTGAGATATCAAAATGAAACTTCATAGGTGCATTGATCTCACTCAGGAGGTGTGCAGTGCACAAGAATGATAACTCTACCTTTCATAATTTTAGAGTTATTGCCCTTTGTTATTTTTCATACCTAATTTTTCACCCGAGTGGAGCATAACTCAAAAGTGTTTGAGATGTCAACATGAAATGTCATAGGTGGATATATCTTATTGAGGAGAAATGCTGTGCACAAGAATGATAACTCTTCCCTGTATAATTTTTGAGTTATTGCCCTTTGTTCTTTTTCATACTATTTTGTCCGGAGCATATCTCAAAAGTATTTGAGGTATCCACTTGAAACTTCATAGGTGGATGGATCTCATTGAGAAAGAGTGCAGTGCACAAGCATGATAACTCTACCCTGCATAATTTTTGAGTTATTGCCCTTTTTTTATTTTTCAAAATTAATTTTTGTCCAGAGCATAACTCAAAAGGCCTTTGAGATATCATTATGAAACTTCATAGGTGCATAGATCTAACTCAGGAGGTGTGCAGTGCACAAGAATAATAACTCTACCTTTTATATTTTTTGAGTTATCGCCTTTGTTATATTTCATTCTTAATTTTTCAGTTCAATTTTTTTCTCAAAAAGTATTTGAGGTATCAACTTGAAACTTCATAGGTGGATAGATTTTACTGAGGAGGGATGCAGCACACAAGAATGATAACCTACCCTGCATTATTTTTCAGTTATTGCCCTTTGTTATTTTCAGCCATCAGTATTCACATAGGTTTCAAATCTGTAATCACTATAGCCATCAGTTTTCATTACCAAAATACCTCTTAAAATGGAATTATTCTGCTCTACTACATATACATTCTTCCAATGAGCAAACACATTCAGCGGGGGATGGCCATGTTGACATGGCTCTTGTTCTTTTAATGAGAGCTTTTATAGCCAGGTAAAAGGATACAATGACCATCGTATGACCATCTCATTAAACAAACTGTGTCTTTGAAACATATGTTTTGTTTTGAAAATTCCCGCATTCGTCATATTTACAATCAGAACCAATTCTCGTTGTTGCAGCTCATTTTGATTTGTTCTAGTCTTTGCAACGTTATTTTAAAGCATTTCCATGCCACCATGGATAATTTTTATAATTTAAATAATTGAAAGAGCAATTATGAAGTGTGTAAATGTCAATACATATATTTTATTTTACAATGCAAGAAGCAACATTTAAAATTATTCACAGTTAATTATTTTTAATCATTTTATAACTAAGTGTTCACTTTGATGTTATATAAAGTTGCTATACTTCTTACAAAAACTGAAATAACAGATGTGATTGTAATTGCTTTTAGAAAAATGTTTGTTTCAATCTGACAATTCCGAAAAAACAACGGCTGAGGACAATATTCAAAACTCTGAACAACTACAAACACAAGGTCTGTATTTTTCAGTATATGAGAAGCTCTGTCAATATCATGTATTTCTTGGAGCCATTTGAGGCATCAACGGACAAGTAAAGATAAATGTGTACTTCTAACAATATAGGTTTGACAGAAATCTTTGTCAAATAATTAACAATTTTAAAAGACTGATCATATTGATTATATACATTTTTTAAAACACACAATAACACACAATTACACAATCAGTGTCCCTTTTTAAACACAATTTCGTTTCATACATACTATTTTGAATGTTTCAATACATTTAACTTTGAAGGTGACATAAGACAAGCATCCTAACCAAGTTTACTGACAATTGAGTCAAAAAATGTGACGACTTAAGTGTTAACAAAGTTTTTCCATATTTGGGCGGTGTGACCTAGTTTTTGACCCAAGGTGACCCATATACGACTTTGCACTAGAAATCATCGAAACAAACTTTCCGATCAATTTCCAGTATATTTGGATCAAAAAAGTAGCCATTAGAGTGTTAACAAGAGTTTTGTTTTTTATAGCTGCTGTGACCTATTTTATAATCCGAGACAACCCATGTTCGAACTCATCCGAGCAATTACCCAGAGAAGCATCCTGACCAAATTTGATGGCAATTGAGTCAAAAATGTGATCACTAGAGTGTTAACAAGGTTTTTTTTTTAGCTCCTGTGACCTAGCTTTTCATCCGAGACAACCCATGTTCAAAGTCATCCGAGCAATTACCTAGACAAGTTTCCTGACCAGGTTTGATGGCAATTTAGTCAAAATGTGATCACTAGAGTGTTAACAAGATTTTTCTATTTTTATTTCCTGTGACCTTGTTTTTCATTTGAGATGACCCATGTTCGAAGTTATCTGAGCAAATACCTAGATAAGCATCCTGACCAAGTTTGATGATAAATGAGTCAAAAAAGTGACCACTAGAGGGTTAACAAGGTTTTCTTTTTTTACCTCCTGTGACATTGTTTTTCATCCGAGATGACCCATGTTCTAACTTATTCTAGCTATTACCTAGACAAGCATCATGACAAAATTTGATGATGATTGAAGCCAAAAATGTGACCGCGACAGTGTTAACGAACAAGTGTGGACGGACGACAGACGACGGACGACGGACAATCAACGATCCTTGCTCACCTTGGGCTAGCTCAGGTGAGCTAAAAAGGATGTTCATTATCTAATCTATGTAATACTTAATTATTTCTAAAAAAAAGAAGCTCAAGACGACTTCTTTATCATAGCGGTTTTAACAGTGTATCTCTTTTTCATTGTCATAGATAAACAGACATTATTAGCTTGTAACTACTATTATTAAACACATTTATTTCGGCGCTCATTCTTAATTTTGATACGAATACCGTCTTTAATTATGTTTCAGGATATGATGAATTGTACAGTAGCAATTTTTTTGAAATGCTTGAAATACTTGGATTGACTCACAAATATCCGGACAAAATTACGACCAGAGACATACTCACTGTAAATCCAAACGACAACAATGAGCAGGAAAAAGAACATATTTCTATAAGTGATATTCCATGGTTAGTTCTAAGGCGATTGATTTGTTCTAATAGTGAATGTAGGGACATTACAGCTCCAAATGAATCAATTTTCGATGGCATTTTTCAATCAGACAATGCAGTGTCCTTTATTTCTCTCCAGCATGACGATAAACACGATGTAAGTCCATTGGATATATTTTTTATTATTTTCCAATGTTGTGATCCATTTTTGAAACAAATGTGTGTACAAAAACTATATCTATGTAAACTCGCCGTACCTTTTATGTTTACGTTTTGTGAACCAATGAAAAAGCAAAGGTCTGTTCTATCAGTTTGGCCATTGCGATCTTTAGAAATTGAAAATAGGCAAATTGATAAAACTGATGAACAGTGGCAACAAAATAACATACTTGATCTTCCTACAAATATGATAGCCTTTGGAAGGTTAGGTCGCCCCCGCTACTCAAAATCAAAATTGATTAATAGTATTCTTTCAAATGAGGGATGTAAAACTTTTTTTAATATTGACTGTCCGTCTGGAATGACACAAAAATTTATTAGTAACGGACATATTGAAATGTTTTGGTTACCAACGAATGGGGACAAAAAGGACAGATTTCAAGAGGCAATGACATTTATTAATTTAAGGGGTGATATGGAGCAACATTTTGATAAAGATATAGTCAAATTTATCGCAAATTTCGTAGATGCCGTTATACTAATAATTGACGTAGATACAATTTTGGAAAAAAGGAAATTCGTTGAAGATATGCTTAAAAACTTACCCTCAGTAATTCTAATTTTTGCCAACCCCTTAACACAAGATACATTTAAAATAATACAGTCCTTTCAAAATGACGTTTTGTTATGTAATCCAGAAATACATTAACGTGTATTAAGCACACATAAAGGTAGTATTGAACAAAATATTGTTGAAATGGCCTCTAGCATATCAGTGCATATATCAAGTCATATTAAAGCAAAGTGCCCTAAGTCATATCAAACGCGTTTTTCTAAGTCAAAAACAGCAAACATCAGAACTGATGAGGAAACTGACAATTGCAGGCTAGGAAATCTTGAGTCAATGAAAATGATTAATCAAATGAAAAATGACGGCTGTTCAAGTAGTTGGAAGCAAATTCTCACTCCTATTCAAAGTAATTTTTCAAAAAAGTTAGGACAACTTTTCAAAATGCGTGAGCGAGAAAAAGACTTTGAAGAGGGCAACACATTTGATGCTGAAATTAAAAAAGTGAGACAAAATCAAACAAAGTCAATAAGTAAAACTGTTAAACTTTTTGTTAGAATATTGACTGCACATAGAGATGATCTTTACTTACTGAAGTATTTCCTTTGCTGGTTACATTTCTATATAGAAACGGAGAAACGTCAAACGTTGCCTCAATTAATGCTTATTAATCGACAAGCTTGGAGACAATTAAAACTTCTAAAAAGAAACAAAATATGGCGGCAATAAAAAATCAAGAACAACTCATTTCCGAATTAGAAGAAAGAATAGATGAAGCATCGTTTTCAGTAGACCATTTCTTTCGTGAAATTGGAATTATAAATGAAACGTTTTTGGAACTTCGGGAAGACTGCACTAAATTTGGTTTACCATCATTAAATCAAATGTCAAGTGCGGTGGGACGTCTATTTGCTGATGGACATCAGTTGGAACTTATAGATGGAGAGAGTTTTTATATGCCTTATAAATGGATTAAAGCTGTAGTCAAAGAAGTTGATAAATTCATCGGAGCAGGCAAAGTTCTAGCACTAAGTGTGTTAGGATTACAAAGCTCAGGGAAATCAACATTTTTAAATACTATGTTTGGTTGCAATTTTTCAACAAGAACCGGTAGATGTACAAGAGGTATTCACGCCCAGCTCATTGCAGCAGATACTGGTAAATTTAAAGATAAATCATCAAATTATGATTTTATTCTTGTCGTTGACACAGAAGGACTTAGATCACCTGAAATGAGTAATATTCAAAATGAACATGACAATGAGTTAGCAACTACAATAACTGGAATAGGAGATATAACAATGATAAATATAATGGGCGAAAATACAAGCGAGATACGGGATATTCTTCAAGTAATTGTCCATGCTTTTTTGAGACTAAAAATGGCAAACAAAGACTTAGATATAAAAAAGAGCTGTTCTTTCATTCATCAAAATGTTGCTGATACTTCTGCATCAGAAAATATGATAAGTGGATTAAGTAAATTAATCCAAACTCTTGATGAGATGACAAAGGAGTCCGCACGGAGTGAAGGTATTCTAAACGTAGTTTCTTTCTCACAGGTGATTGAATTTGATATCAATGCGCAAGTCTGGTATTTAAAAAATCTGTGGCAAGGAAATCCTCCCATGGCAAGAGTGAATACTGAATACAGTAGAAGGGTTGTAGACGTCAGGTCCAGTGTTTTAAAAAAGGCGTTAAGAATGGAAAACAAAATATACAAAACGTTAGACGATATAACTGAACATGCCCATAATATATGGAAAGGTGTTCTTAATGAGGACTTTGTATTTTCCTTCAGAAACAGCATTGAAATCAAAGCCTACATGGCAATGGAACACGTTGTTCATAATCAACTTTGGCGTCTTGAAAGCTTGATTCGAGATAAATTAATAAAGATTTCACAAAAGAGTTTTGCAAATTGTGATCAGGAAGAAAATCTATATACGGTAGGTAACGCACTTTTTAAAGATATAAATACTCTTCTTCTTGAAGAAAAAGCAAAAGCTGAAGAAGTTATCAATAAATATTTTGAAAATGACAAATACAAAGATATAATTGTACAGTGGCAAACGAGCCAAAAAAGCAATTTTGACTTTCAGTGTCAGCAATTGGAACAAACTGTAAAAGAACAAATACAGAAAGATCTTGAGAAAAGAGAAATAGAAATTTTGACTGTAACTTGTCATGAGAAACAGAAGAAGAGCTTCGAAAAATGTCTATGAAAGTTGCTAATGAACATAAAGGTGAAACGTTAAGCAATGACAACATAAATGAGCTTTTTAATAAAATTTGGCTGTCTTTTGTGAAGAAGGTTAATACGTCTTCTTCTAATGCAGAGAAAAACAGAAAACCAATGCGCGATATTTTTCACACCTGTTTAATAAATATATTTCAAAAAAATTCCCAGGTAATAAGAAATGTTTTGAAACAAAGTAAAAACTTGACACCACTGCCAAATTTAATAATTTTAAAGGGATCATTCCAATACACAGGTATTGATGACAAAGATATAAATTTTAAATGGTATCAAAAGGGAATGCATAAGGTTTTCGGTGGTACTCATGTGATGAGTTACATTGAAACAAAAGTTAATCAGGTCTTTGAAACAATTGATTTCAAGATACAACAATATTGTCAAGTCAGAGAAGAAATAACGGAAATGTCTGTGAACAAACTAATGCATGATTTAGCTAGTAATGTAAATGATATTTTAAAGGGGGATATCGAATATAAGTTTCAGAAGCCGTTTTATGCAAAGATTTATGTTCATGTAAGCAGACATGCTCATTCTGTGTTTGAGAAGCACAATGAAAACTATTTTAAAACATATGGAGCTGCTGCTTGTCTTGAAAAATACAGAGTACAACAAAAGATAAGCTTTGAAGCTCATTTAAGCTGTCGTCTTTCTGAAGATACCCTTTCAAAACTTTTTGTCAATATTATAGAAAGTTTCGCTGAGGAATGGACATTACAAGCGCTTCCGAATAAAGTAACAGATGAGCTTTATGCTTATCTTCCTCCCGTCAAAAATAGAGTCATTATTGAAATATGTACAGATCTTTTAGAACAAAGCATATTCGAAGATTTCATCAAATACATACAGGCTCCAAAGGAGTATGCAAGAACATGGATAACACAAAAAGCGAATGACCGTTTATTTGCACAAGAGTCAAAGCTATATTCAAAATTATCTACATTACTAGTACAAAATGTATTTCTTGAAGTAAATACAAGTGTACGTAAAGTATTCAAAGAATTAGAGGAACAATCAAGTCTTTCTGTTGACCAATGGGTCAAATCATTCCAAACATTTATGAAAGCTTCAGACTTTTCTATTTCAACAGATAGATTTAGGAGTATGAAGAACGAAACAGAATATATTAGAAATTTAGAATTTTTTACAAATGAAATATTAGACAGTTTGAATAAAATAGAAAAGAACGTAATATACCGATTAAATGAGGTTGATGGCAATTCTGTTCAATGGTCACATTCGAGTCCTATAGAACGATTAATACAGAAAATATGGGGATGTTCAGAACAGTGCGCATTTTGTGGAGAGCCGTGTGCTAAAAATGAAGACCACAAAGGATCCGAACACAACTGTGTACAACATCGTCCTTTATGTTGTATAGGAATTCGTGCTTCGGATACTGTATTAGCTACTTTACCGTCGTGTGAATTTCGCATACAATCAGATCAAACACATACATGCGGTGTCTTTGGTTATCAATGTAATTTTGGTGAACGAAAAGAGTGCGATAAAGCGACACATCGTTACAAAGATTATAAAACTTTCTTAAAAGAATGGTATATAGCCCCATCAGCTGATATGCATGACACTTCCAAATATTGGATGTGGTTTGTGGCGAACTATGAAGAGAAGCTACATAAATATTACGGGTATGAATTCAAAAATATACCTGAATCCTGGTTTGAAATCACAGCAACACAAGCATTACAAAGCCTCTCAGAAATATATTCAGCCTAATTTATATTGAATCTGCAGCGTTTAAATGCAATCTGTTTTCATCTTCGTCGCAAAATAATGCGCTAACACAATTGTTTTGCAATCTTTTGTAGATGCAAAAGATATTTTTAATTCAAGTTTTATTAGATTTCCTACATACGAACACTGGTTCTAGTTGTTGGAAACTATATTAAGACATTTTTGTGCCTGTGAAATAGGGGGTCATTTTATGTGCCTTTATTTATCTCAGATGAACACAATGGACATTGTTACTTACAGTCACTTTGTACAATGTTCAGTTCCAACACGAAAACAAAGACATAGATAATTTCTAAAAAAAAAAGATGTTCATATACAAAAAAAACCCTCTAAATATGCCAAGGTGACCGACGTTTGAGCAAATTCAAAGATGGAGTCTTGCACCAAAACAATAAAAATAGAAAAACATCAAACGGTGCAATATTCTAATATTTGACAAATAAATGTTTTTAAAAAGATATGACAAACTTACTCTCATCGGTGACCATTAGGGTCAGTAATCCTTGAATAGTAGTAATTACGTGTTTTGCGTGTCTTAATCCAAACAATCAGCACATGTACAAACTTTACTTGTTGTAATATATTAAATTGAAATAAGTAAAATCCATATTTTCAATATTTTTGGTAGGGCTCTTTCTTTCTTTGCATATCTTTATCCGAAATTTCCATAAACAATTCCAAAATGTTTCTATTCTGTCATCAAATACTTTTGACAATCGTAAATTCGTATTTTCTTTGTCTACTATTTTATATCGGCATAAAAGTATACTGTAACGTCGAAAATGGCTATGTTAAACTTTCTTTAATACATAGCAATCATATTCACTTGATATAGATTAAATTGCTGCCTTTGAACATTAAAACTTTTTTCATTCAGATTTATAATGTTAGCTACTTCTTTGCATTGCTGATGAACACGTGCATGAAGTGTAATGTGAGTAAAAATGATATTCCCAACGTATTAAAGAAGGGACTAATAAGTTTCCACCAATGTAGCTTATTGTACAATATATATGGTTATATTCTTAAATTGTATGGCTGGAAAATGAGAGGTTTGTTATCAACCTGTCAAAATTGTTTTAATAAGAAACTGGTAATAACCATTTTAAAAATATTTTTATATGATGAAGTAATAAATTAAATATAGTATATACTGTCATATATTAGTATGGTATAGTACACTGTGATAATATTTGATGAAAAATTTATGTCGCTGTTAATTGATGTTTTGTCGGTAATTTATTTCATCGACAAAACAATTAAAATAGGACACAATATATAGTTCATAGAGTCAAAGATATTGTTAGGAATGTTTTAGTCAAATTAATATACCCATCTAAAGGTATGTATGTATTCTATAAAATCGTCCAAGAAATTAGTTGTAAGATATATAAACTATTTTCATTGCTTAAAATTGTAACTATCATAAACATTTAACATATATGTCTGTTATAGATAAAATTGTTCACTTTTAATATAAATATATAGATGATATTTGTTTGTTTTGCATGTAAGATTGAAATATATTTTACTGAGAGAAAATAGAATAACTGGTGTTCAGGAATGAAATATATTTCAATCTTATATGTAAAACAATACATTTTCTTTTTATTTCATGCTTTAGTATTTATTTTTACTGATTTTGCCGCGTAAAGTCGCACATTCCCCTTTATGGCGTCAAAACATCATAACGTCACATCATCAATTTTGAAATATAGTTCTTTTAAATCTCTCTAATTCTGTAACATTTTTAATATGATAAATGATGACATCGACTTTCTTTTCTTGAAGAAGGAACATTTACGTATGACGGCATTTTTCTTTGCCTGTTATTCCATTTAGTTATGATATTCTTTAATTTCATCCGCATTCAGATATAGCCCGGCTCTAGTGAAAATTATATTTTATAAATTTCACTAGTGGTTTATCAGAAAAAAATCATCTGATATATAACAGTGAAACACTGGAAAGCATGAAATAAATGTTAATATCGATGACATTTCTATCAATGTAACAAATGGTGTTGTTTGAATAAATAAGATTAGTTATTTGAAACGTAGAAATTAACAAAATCTTGTTTTTTTCCTGAAATTATAGTGCTTATGGTTTTAGCGTTGATTTTATTTTGAGTTGTCTGCTGGTTTTAATTAGCGAATATAATTCTTATTAATTAACAAATATTGTAAATAGCTGACAATTTTTATTTGTTCTTTTTATGCGTTTTTATACGCGTGTGTTGCGTTTTAACGTTCGTCCTTTCGTGTGTCAGTGCCTCCCTACGTGTGCTTGTTCGTATGTATGTGTTAACAATTACATAAATGTCTACAAAAATGTTGTGTATTGAATGCATTATTAAAAAGAAGTAAATTTTATTCCTTTTTAAGCATATAATATTAAATAGTAGATAGAAGAAAAGCTTTACTACTGTGTTATGTAAAAGATTTTATTCTTTAAATTCTAAAGATCTTTTTGTCGAACATGTGTGTTTTCGCTTTTTCTTGTAGTCCGACAAAATGCTACATAAACTCGAAATTGACATATGTTGTTGTGGTCTAGATTATCTCAAACCAAAAACAGTGGCAGGTTATGAAAAGTAACAAAACATCATTTTCTCATCAGACACTTAGGTGTTTTATATACGAAGTATATTTCAAGCATACATTTTTCAGATTTTTTGTCTAATTTTTTGTTTGCTTTTGCAATGTGCTGTTATTGCTTCCAATTGAATAAAACCGTTTGTAAGTGTACCGTTTTACATTAATTTTGTATTCTTGATAACTACGCAGTAAGAAAAAGGTAAACATCATAAATAATAAAAACTAGTTGAAGAATGAAGTTTATTATTGATTTAAAATGTTATGATTTACTTTCCTATAGTATGTCACAGGATCACAACTAACTGTCCCTTCGTGCTTTAATTTGGTTACATTTTTGGCTACGGGAACATTAGGTAGATGCGATTTTTCAAAGATGTCATACGTTCCGTAAGGTTTATTGTGGCTATGATTTTTTGCACATCAGCTAGAGCTAGGAGATAAATGGACTAGTCATATATATGTACTTACGACGGTCGGTCCATATAGACAGCATCATCTCTTTAAGTTTAAGGTCAATAACACCAAAACTTTCTGAGATTGATCCTTAGGAGATCTTCTTTTAAAGTTGTTTAGAGCAATAATTTCCATAATAGCTCTTGTTGACCTACTTTCCTACTTCCTTGTTTATCATGTACAACTATGAAGAAGGGCATTGTACACAGAGAACATTAACAATATATTTTGCATAAAATTTGGTACAGTGACAAACAGTGTTCATATTCTTGTAATAAACAATAGCTTTCGCGGCTTTTACACAAATAGCTGTCTGTCCTCTATGTCCAAGACACACTTTTTTATTTTCGTGTTGTTGTTGTTGTTATTATTGTTGCTGCTGTTGTTGTTGTTGCTGTTGTTGTGTCAAATAATAATATAAGTTAGTTTATTTTATGAAAAGATGCATGGCTGTTGATTGGTAATTTAATAACCACCATTTTTCTTATTGTTGATGTGTTTTGTGAGAAATACGTAGACTTGGGCTGTTTGAAAAATATATTTAATATAAATGAAATTATAAAAGGAATGAAAAAAATCTTTTTAAGCCCGTAAGGGTTTTGTAAGCAGACCATTTGGTTTACGTTTATAACTTTATATTTCAAATGTTAGCCAATTAATGTATTCGTCACCGTCAAATATCAGAGATTTTCGTTAAGTTATACACTTTCGTTGAATTGCATGTGTCTTGCAGGTCACATAATTGAATAATTATTATTATATTCTATACCAATTATATACAAATTATTATTTAATTATTGTTATATTTAATGATTTTAATTATTAAAATTATAAACCTAATTTTATAAAGTATGCTCTATTGCAATGGGTATTTGACCTTATCCTTCAATCATTATCTATTTTGGAGATAATGATTAAAGGATATTGTCAAATACCCATTGCAATGGAGCATACAATTATAAAATTAGGTCAATTTGATTGGGATAAGCATTGTGTATAGCCGGCAGTTTTGTTTGTCTCTTCTTTGAATTTTATATTTCAAACTTTTCTTAAAATCTAAAATTCCAAAATAATATTTCCTTATTTATTCAGAATATGAAATTGAATCATTTTTGTTTCAGTGATTAACATAATTTTTCATCAGTCGTTCCGGTTTGATTTTCTATCAGTGTATATATGTGATATGATAAATGTAATTAAAATTCTAACATTTGTTTTATAATGTTACCTTTTTACGACTTCATCTCATAATCCTCCTTTTTACGTGTAATTTAATGTGTGATTACCTTATTCAGAACAAAGACCTTTACATATTTAGATACTTGGTCTTTTGTTTCTTATCTACTCCCTGAATCTAATTTCCTACATTTTGTATTTCCCCCATGTTTCCTGTTTCCTGCATGTTTCTAATTATGTCGATCTTTCTTTTTTTACTATGTGTCTTATTCCCTCTATGTTTCTAGTTCCACGAATTATTGTTATATCATCCCTGTTTCTAAGTTCTCTTATGTTTCTTATTTCCACCATGTTCCTTCTTTCTTCCATATTTTTATTATCTTCCCGGTTATAGTTGTTTCCATGTTTCATATTACATTTTTATGTCCCAACATGTTTCTTATTATTTTTAAGTTTCTAAATTCTTATTTCCTCGATGACTTTTATTTCCTGTATGCTTTTAATTTCCTCGATGTTTCTAGTTTCCTCATTATGTCTTATTGTATGCAATTATCTACACGTAATGCTTCTCTAAATAACAAGTTATGATATATTATCATGATCCCATGTAACCTATATGAAGAGAATTAATGTTAAGGTAATTAAAAGAGTATTTGTACTATTATTTTTACATATTAATTTTTCGTATAATAACTAAGAAAATACACATTTTGTTTCCAAAATCTTCCTAATTCACTGATGTGACTTTTTTCTCTTAGAACAGAAAAGGGGCTCCAATGATTTTTTTATTGACAAGTTGGGACGGAAAAATATTTTTATATTTGTACTTTTTTTGATGAAGCTCTGAACTGTGTGTAAAATTTTAATCTGTTCGCACAATCCGTTTTTTTTTTCACAATTATTTATCGTGCAATCTGTAAAATGAAAATCGTTTAATTTTTTACTCACATAGGGCTAAGAATCGCTCGAGAAAACGATTTACATTTCAATTCTCAGTATGTTTTAATGTTTTGTATATGTTTCCGTCTGAAGAGCCACGTGTGAAAAGGAAACAAATTTTATGTTTTCAGATTTTTGGAGCTCCTTTTAAAATAGTCGTATTAAAAGAGTATTTGTACAAGTATTTTAACATATTGTTTTTACGTATAATAACTAAGAAAATACACATTTTGTTTCAAAGATCTTCCTTATTCTCTGATGTGACTTTTTTTTTTAGAACAGAAAAGGGGCTCCGATTATTTTTTTATTGACAAGTTGGGACAGAAAATATTTTTTATATTTATACTTTTTGATAAAGCTCTGAATTGTGTGTAAAATTTCAATCTGTTCGAACATTTCATTTTTTCACAATTATTAATCGTGCAATGTGTATAATAAATAGCGTTTGATGTTTGTACTCACATATGGCTTAGAATCGCTCGAAAAAAAACGATTTATATTTCAATTCTCAGTATTTTTAAAAGAATTGTGTAAATGTTTCCGTCTCAAGAGCCACGTGTGTAAAAAACATTTCTTATGTTTTCCGATTGTCGGAGCTCCTTTTAAAAGAGTCGTTTTATTTATTTCATTGTTGAAACCAAATTAAACTTATTATAAATTGTAGTTTGTATTTAAAACTTGTATATCATTATATTAAATAAAGTGTGTGCGTGTGTAAGACGATGTTCTTTGTTTACCTTTTTGCCCTTCAAATGAATATGAAACAATTATTATAGAAAGCTATAAACTATAATTAATATGTATTTAGACAGTGGTACAGTTGTATCATTTATAGGCAAATTGAGTCAGTAATGGCTAAAGGCCGCTAACCAGAGTTAAGATAATCACCTTGGTTATATTTCTTATTTTATGTCGATTGCAGGGCGAAAATGTATTATATTGGGAAACATCGCAGACATCAGAATAATGTCCAATTTACACCATAAGATCAGCGTGACTTTCCTGCTATATCTATTGGGTTGGCAAGACCGTAACATATTTTCCTAATCATACAGTCTACTTTGTTTGCTGCTACCAAGGCAACTAGTCGGACGGACACAACAATTAATAGATATGTTTTTCCGATAGGCCTACACTTAACAAGTTACTATGCGTTTATGTTTTTACTTTGAGTATTATTGTGTATTATTGTTCAGTAAACATTATCGACAAACAAAACGACATTTGAAATACTGGTTACTGCATTGTTAAGTATTGCAATGACTTTATGTGACCAGTTTATTCTATAGATTTACGTGTTAGACTTTTCAAAACGCAAACAAACAACTGTTACAGATAATGGATAAGAAAAAATCATAATTAATAAACAAATAATGGATAGGAAGGCATAAAATAAATAATGGATAAATAGGCATACAATGACATCATTCTAACTAGCATATGTTTAAGAATACATGCTATAATTACCTTTCCATTACACTTGATATATAGTTGGTATTGCCCAAAACGATTCTTGGTGATTATCTTTGTAACTTTATAAGAACAGAGAGAAATTATGAATATGTTTCAATTAGATTAATATTATAATTGCATAAATAATTTATTGAAGATCTAAATAATATAATAGAACATACAACGTGTTTATATTTTACAATATTTGCATATTCCTTCTTCTGAGAGATAGCAAAACAAACAAAAATGATAAAATATCTACTGATAAATTTTCAAAAGGTTGATTAGTCTTTTAGATTATCTTATCTCATGCTATTCAGTAGATAGTGAAATTAAACAATGTCATGTGGTCCAATTATATTTGTATGTGGATGAAAATATGATAAGTGAATTGGTAATTCCCTAAAAATACACTCTATCGTAATTAAAATGTTTTGAAATCATAATTATGAGCAATATATAAATATTTACCCACGACATATTAAAATTGTAACAAAATTTGATAAATTTACAATATGATTTTTTCAACATGAACAAGATGTCATAACAACATGAAGAACAGCGCATGAAGTTTTGCGGCCAAATCAGTCAAACTACTTTTTAACCGATGAAATGGCAAGACACAAACAGAACATGCGAGTGTTGTCATTATAAGATCAAACTATATTTCGCTCTAGAGCACGACACTGTGTGATTGTAGGAGGTGACTAAATGGGTTCAATTACTGGAGGCTTTAAACCTCTTAACACAAGCAGGCGTGTTTTGACCCCTGTTTTTATCTTCAGTTTGTAACCAATATCATATTTTTTGTTTGGAAAACATATCACTTGAATTATGATGATGTGCCGTAAAACCGAACAAATATATATGTGTTCGCTTTTTACTTCTCTATCATTCAAATATACAATGTCTTATGACGTTTTATATAATAGAAGTACATGCATCAAATGACGATAAGTAACGTGTTCATTTTAATAATTGAAAAAGGCAAACATCCTTTGTTAGGCAATGTAAATCTGAATAATATGATACTTTGCATCAAATTTATTGTACCGATAAGAGCATTAAAAAGTATGCAAACATAATTAAATGAATTTTACAACAGCAAGCCTTATATCGGTATTAGATGTTATGTTGAAAACTTTTTTTATATATCTACATAAAACAGGAATAGAATAATGGAATGTATGGACAGTGAGCAGACAATAAAACTAAATTAAATATCAATAACTTTTTGAAGGGTTGTATTGGTCTTTTGCTATGTTGCTGTTAACAACAAACATCGTGAAAACATGAAGTCACATGGCTTTGATACTATAAGATTTAACTTTGAGCATTTCATCACAAATATCGTTCTCGAATTTGTGTCATCCAACTAAGTGTTAGTTAAGTAATATTGTTCTGCTAAGAAAGCGGTAATAACTTTCAACTTTTTATGGTGAGGAAAATAACAGCTTGCTTAGATCACCTTTGACATTATGTTTTAATGATGGTTTGACGTTATAAGCGGTTTGTGATATAACGTCTCTACAATGCCTGTTTCATACGAAAGCATTTTGCTTGCCACAACGAGTGTATGGCAAACATGTTATCACGTCCATTGTAGAGAAATAGCGAACACCATATATTATGTCGACAAAATTTTCATTTCATTCGTTTTTCTTAAAAGGATGTTAAGTATAGACTGCGGCAATTATTTGAGGCTATTTATTATTATATTTTGTATAAGTGCTAGCATTCTATAATTAGAGCGACTGTATTTGTGATATATACTACTACATACATGAATGTAACGGCTTTGAATAATACTACTAAAGCATACACTCACAGAACTTGTAAATGATATAATATATAATGAACTTATTTTAATAAATTTGAAACGTATATACAATTCGATATTCATTAAGAAGCCGAAATAATTGGTCTTACAATTCGTAGAAAAACTTAAGACTTTCAAACTATAAATCAA